ATGTGTGAAGGTAGCATTGCCGAATGAACAGAAAAATAGTCTTGCTATATCGACAGAATCCATGAACATTCTTTGGAATGTCTGGATTTATAAAAGCGACAGCTACTGGTGAGTAACAGAAAGTCATTTCCATAGCACCATGTTACTCTCCTCTGTCAGCCTCTGATCACTACAAGGTGGGACTTCATACCTGAGCAAGTATCACTGTACACCTGCCCTGTTCTAACACTGCTCCCTGCTAACATCTGATATTGCCCTCTATTGGAGACATGATGTGAGGCGTGATAAACCTTTAAATGACATATTACGGTTGTTATTCTCCTTACTCTATCTGCAAGTAAGAAGCTTGAATTAGCAAGTTAGAGAAGAACACAATAAGCATTAAATGTGCAAGCTACCCCACCCAGTCTATCCTACACATTCTTAAAGTACCTGTGTCAAATCTGAGCATAGATTCTCATTAAATTATAATGGAAAACCTAAGTGTGGACAAAACTTCCTCAGAAGGACTGTTCTGTCTGATATCCCCATGAAGATGAACATTAGTTTCAGCTGAGTTATTTTACATTTTCAAAAAAATCACAGTGTTTAACATGAGTTCAAATCTATAAAGGTGTAATTTGGCAACCAGGCAATCCAGGCTGGGGATCAGAAATGCCAGGGAAATACTGTCATTCAGTAAACCTGGCAAATCTGCTCTGTACATGTAGGCATAAAGAATTAAATAGGGAGATGGCAAATCTTTTTTGGTCCCCCACACTTTATTCTAAAAACATCCTATTATTCAGTCTTGGTTGATTTAACTGCCTTTACTAAGCTCATTTATTATTGCTTGAATTAGTGTAGTTTCAGTGGAAAATTCAGGACAACTCGATATTACATTCAAGTTCTAGCTGCAAGGACCAAATTACTGAGTCCTCACAGGAGTTTACAATAAGGAAGGTTTTCTGCTTTACATCTGTACCTACCGTAAAGTACATGCTTAAATCCCAAACAAGTAAATCTAAATAAAGCTGGATGGACACTTAAGATGAAGTCAGTTTGGTATGTGTTTGCTGGTTTTTTCCCCACAAAGAGTTTAGAGTGACACGGAGGGATTAAAGAGATCAAATGCAGTCATTTTAAATTCAGATTTTGGACCCTGAGTGGATGGGGGTAACATAAGAAAGAAAAGTTTTGAACTAACCTGATAATAAGCCCTTTAGTTCACTCATAAATTAAACCAAATTCAGTATAGAATTCAAAGAATTATACGCCCAGCTCTCACAAACATTCCATGCTCTTTAAAGCCCCAGTTGCCTTATGTCATTTTGAAAATCCAACTCTACAAGGTTAAAAATGTCTTTGTGAATCAACAGATTCCTCGAAGATGAGGCATTGGTCCCAGACAGTCATTTATCAGTGTCTAGATGGAAACTTCTTTTAGCTTTGTTTTGCTGTCCTAACAAAACAGGTTTCTTCCAACCTCCCCACCTCTTGGACAAAAGTGAGATATTCTGTACTAATGCTTAGTCAGTTTTTGCTCTTCTAGGTTTTAATTATAGCTCTGGAAAGCAAATGTATTAACTAATATAAGCTGAAAGAAAGTTAAATGAGGACGTTTTATCAGAGACAGCATTGCCTCCTGCTTTTAGGGAGGCACATTCAAAAGGGTATGGCTTTAACTCCTTCCACAGCCGGAAGTCATTGGAATACCATTATCAAACATCTTATTAAAATTAGGCCACCAATGACAGCTTTGGATAAGCCCCATTCACCAACCTTTTACCGACTGAATAAAAATCATCATCTCTGAAGTACTGAAGCCAATTAAAGTACTGAATCTCAGGCCTATGGGCCATATAGGTTTTTTCCTTAAACTAAAGAAATCAAGACTCCACATAGAAACAGTCCTTTAATGACAGCAGCTTTTCCTCAGCAGCATCTCTGACAGTACAGTTCTTACTAACTGTGATGAAATACAGAGCACACATATTTTCATAAGCTTATACTAAATAAAATCAGGGTCTCTCTGTAGCTTTCTTCAGAAAAACGGAAGAGTCCCACCCAGGAGAAGACTTCAAACCTGCCTCTTTGCTAGATAGATGGGAGGTCACTGCCATTTTGCCATTACAGTCTATAGAGATCATTAAAGAAGAGGGAATTGGCAAAGAGCAATACTCTCTTCACGTGTATCATTCCCTCTCTGTTAATTCTACCTTTCTTCCCAAACACAGTCTAAGTCCTTTATTTTTCATTTAGAAGTCATAAGAAATTTGTTTATTTGTGATTTTTACATTGTGATGCAGCACTGCCTGTTCTGCAAGAGGGAATCTGGACAGGGATGGGCAAACAGGAGGAATGAATATCCCCACGTACGCCCATTTTGGACACCTGAGCACTGTGAACTGTATCCGCACACGGAGGGCCTCCATCTGTCAGACCCTCCATCGCCAGTGCTGGAAATCTCTGGATTAAAAATGATAGTAATGCCTTGCTCGGTGTTTCTCCACCCACGGATCTTCCACAGAAAAGCTTTTTATGACGAGTCATCCTTTACATACTTGGGAAAGCCAAGACATGCAGCAAGGATGTGGTTTGCTGATGGTCGTGCAGCTGGAAAGCGGCAGAACCAGGAAGGGTGGCCACCTCACCCTCACCGTGTGCACCCCAGTGAAAGACACAGTTTGCTGTTCATGCACAGTCAAGAGAAATAAAATATGACTAGCAGATGGTAAGAGTGGCACACAACATGCTGTCTGATTGCATAAGCCTGTGAGAAGTTTGATAGAGCTGCTTGAGCAGCTAGGCTGGGCTGAAGGCAAGTGACAGAGTGTGCCCTGATGTCTGCAAACAGTCCTGGTTTCACTGCTGAAGTGGTGGCATAAGACATTGTCCTTCTTAATGACCCGGTGGAGCCCACCTAAAAGATATTCTCCGAATTAGGGAAGTGAGTTAGCCATGTTTCAAGTGTTAGGGTGAACTCTAAAGAGGTATCATAAAAGTTAATGTCATAGTAGCTATTACACAATAGATATTGATTGTTCTAATTTCAGGCCTTCCAGAGCAGACTAATGTGTAACATTTAACCAGGGGAAAATTATATCTTATATCTCATTTACAGCTGAATCATTAGAACCAGAAAAGTAGACTGGGGGTGGGAGGAGATTTGACAAATGTCCATGTATCAGACAGCCTAAATTGCCTTTGCTGAATGTGAACAATATTCTGCAGTTGTTTTTGAGAAGGATTCCACAGAAAGATGACAGAAATTACTGTGGGTAGGAAGCAAGAAGGTTTTGTGGGTTTTTATAGGTTTTTTACCAGAATTGAATCTTGCAAGTACTACTGCCATCCCATTCCTTGTGTAAAGCAAATCATTTTTTATACCACATACAGTGCTGTAATCTACGTAAACAGCTGTCAGGGCATTTCTGGAAAAGAGTGATTTTATTCATTTCATAAAACTCTGATCAGAACAATATGTGAGCAACAAAACAACAATACATAAAGGCTCAAGCATCCATTTTAGCTTTATGCAGCCATTTTGGAACCTGAAGCTTTGTTTTGACTTTGCCATTCACCATCTAAACAGCTCCAGAACAATTCCATATTGCCAGCAAGAGATTAGCTTGGGGCTCTGTCACATATGGGCAAATTTCTGTCCACTGGGAGAAAAGTTGTGCAGTCATGCTGGTCCTAACTACCACGAAGACAGAGTAAACATGAAGACCAGGCAGGGCACAGGGACTGAGAGACCTGTCCTGAACCCATAAAACCTATTGTGTAGCCTCCTAGTTCTGTGGATTTTGAACAGAATGAGAAACTAAACATATAATAAACAAAGTATCTGCAGACATTCTGCCCGGTGAACCTGCCCATTACAGAAGTCTACAGGGTACAGAAATCTCATATTTTAGAAATCCCATAGCTTACTATTGCAGGCTGACTCCAAATTGCTGAGTTGGTAGAGGTGGCCGTGGTGGAGGAACTTTAACCGCAGGTGGCAGTTTTCCCTTCTGTTTTCTCCGAAGATTTTCATCATGCCTGCAAAATCAAGAAATCATTGATTTTCTGTGTACCACAGCTGACAAACTATATATATGAACAGTTACCAGTACTGCTCATGATGCTGATCTCCTGACAATAGTGTATATGCTGCAAGTCTCACAGAAATGGCATTTAATTTAAGCATTAGGGAAATTTTAGAGTAGTATTTGTGGTAGAATACTTAAGCAAGACACACAAGAGCACTTTTGCTTCAAGCCAATGGAGTATAGTAATAGAAGTGTCCAAAAAATAGGAGCACATAATTTAACAGCAAAATTCAAACCTATTTACTACTCAGAATATAACTCCTCTTTCTTTGACATCCATGCAATCCAATTTATATCCTTAGAGCTATGAGGTATTTTCTGTAACTCCATATTTACACAAAAGATGTGTAAAAACCCACCAGGCATCAATAACAGTCATAATCAAAGCTTCCAGTTACTTTCATTCAGCAGTGACATAAAATCACTTCCTGACAGTACATCAAAGCATTTCCATGTACCGCACTGTGTCGAGAAGACTGTTATTGATACTAATACTGGCACTTGACAATTCCAGCCCCATGCACTTTTTCTTCTCCTCTCCCGCCCCTCTCCAATACTCCTCCCTAACACACATACATGCATGATATAAAAGTAATGGATCCACTATCAATAAAGTCTATACATAAAGTATATACATAAAGTTTAAAATCAATCAGCACTTTGCTGACTGGGAATGCTCTTAGCAAAAGGAAGTCACTTAATCTTACAATAGGCAAGCAAAGAGGTCAGGATTACATGTTTGCCCACAAGCATGACATGATACTCATAAGCAGTAATGACATATGGATTGGTTTTGTTAACACTCACACAGAAGCTGCAATTATATTAAGAAAATGTTCCACAACTAAGATGGAGATGCTTCAAATCTGTAGAAAACTATACAGCCTTCTCTTCTCTGAACGCACTTCAGCACATCTCTGATGGCAGTGCAAGCTTTCAGAATTAAATCAAACCAAGCATAAATAGGTAAATTAGACTTTTAATCGCTGAAGAAACAGGATTAGATTCTGCTTGGAATACAGTGAACAGGATGCAACGCTACTTGAGAAAAGGTGAGACAACATAATTTAAACTTGCCACGTACCGGATGACTTCTTGAGGAATATTTAGCTGGTCGTATTTAAGATGCTCTCTCAGGTCACTTAAATAGTTCAAGTAGGTGATTTTTTTCCCAAACTTATGGCTAAGAAAAAAAACAAACCCACAAGAAGTATGAAAAATCAGTATGGGAGGAACATTTACGGAGGATTTAGTTTCTATTACAAAAATGTAAGTGCTGATGCAACTCAAAATTAGACTGTAATTGAAGCAGCAGGAGACACAAGATGTATTTCATTTCATATGATCAAACATATACAGTGCATGCCTGAGACTCTGATTTGAATAAAAATAACTGACTTCCATCTGAATGTTCTGTGATTTGCATAGATATGAAAAACACTGCTTTAAAAGCCACTGAAAAACAGCTTTCACACAGCATTAGAAAGCTCAATAAAAGAACTGTTAACTTTGGAGAAAATGTTACACGGCCAACAGAACACCATGTTTGTGTTATTTAGGTATTCCTCCTTGCCAAAAGACAAAATAATGGGGCTGCAGACACAAACCATAAAGTAACAAGTGACAGGCAAGATTTTTCAAAGCTTGGCTAGTGTATAGCCTTGAAGTGTTGGGCCATCAGCTTTATCTAGTTTTGAAAAAAGGCCTGATAGCTTCTAGGAAACGTCTTGAATAGCAGGGTTTTTCTATGAGTTGTACAAAACAGACTTCCAAATTTGAAACACCAAGTCTCATTACTTAGGTCTTGAGTTTCAGCCAGAACACACTACTTACAGGCTGAGGTGTTCAGACAAGGTTCAGTGACACATTTATATGCATACCCTGAAATAATTTCATATTTTTCCACAACACAAAAATATCTCTTCTGTAATGAAATGCCAAGCAAAATAATGGGTGTTGATGATAAAAAGCGTACTTTGCTGCAACTTACTTTGCTAGTAACATCGGAAGAACATTCTCTCACATTAATGAATTTATCCCTGGATTGTCGAATATGCATACACACGCTCCCTCTAGTGGGAGATGGTACAAATAAAAGTCATTTGAGCACTTCAGAAGCTTTTAATTGAAATAAGCTAAATTATGCCTACAGGCAAGCAATTTTGAGATATCGACAGATATCAGTGTGTGTGTGTGTACAACTTTCGAGCTCTTCAGCGTGTCTTTTATTCAAAACACCTTGTGATTTTAACTTAACAAGGCCATGGGCTAGCACAGAATTCTCTGCAACTAAGCTCTCCTGGTTGTAACAAAGCATCCCTGGCTAACAGGACACATTACAGAATATAATTTGTAACTAAGCTGTGCGTAACTAGGAATTACTACTGTTCCTTAAAAATGCCACATCATCACCACCTAAATGAGTATTATTTTGAAAAGGGGTGGGTGGCTTCTGTTAGCTCACACACAGAAATGTGCTACTCTTATGTTATTTTTTTTGCAGTTTGGAAAAAATACATTTGATTTAAAACATTACCTTCTTGCTCCTCTCTTTTGGGACTGGAAAAGAGATCAATCAACTTCTGGAGCTTGAAAAACTGAAAGCATTTACATTTTCTTGAGTGCTTTCAAATACAAGTGTGCTAAAAAACTTACTACTTTTGTTCTTCACTCTAATAATTCTGTCATTTGTCCACTCCTTAGCAAAAAAATTGTTCATGTAAAAGTACTTATGCCACGTACTAACAGACCTCTGGTAAATGTTTCTTGATAATGAAATTTATTTTACATTGCAATTTTTATTGGAAGCACTATCTACAAATGAGTGTGGACTGTAATTCAGCAAAGCTAGGAAACAGGAAGTCCAGAGGACTTTTTTCCCTTCTTTTTGTGAACCTTGGTTTAATATTGGCACTTAAATAAAAGCATGATCTGCTACAGTAAGATTATTCTAAACTGCAAGTAAAAAGTACTGTGAACAAATTTTAAATTGTACTATTCTAGTAAATTAACAGTGTTAGTAACTTCTAGTCTTCAGTGAGAGTACGATTTAGGCAAATTGTACATGGGCACTTTCACACTTCAGTTTTAAAATTATAACCTTACATTTTCCCTTACTTGACAAATGCAAACTTGAGCCAATCCAAAGCGCAAATATATGTGAGCATTTGGCAATTAAAACATTTTAAGGAGTAAAGAAGTTTTTTTCCCTAGCTTCAGCTAATTCCTGACTTCTGACTTAAGGACTTTTTCAGAGTTTACTCATACTTTCAATTATTTTGTTGGTCCCAGTGTACAAATATCTTTGTTTCTATTGATCACATATTTTAACAACAGAAATTAAGAGTGTTACTAAATTGGATTCAAAACAAGTATCCAGGTACCCAGTGGTAAAAGTTGAGTACAAACAGGAACAGCAAATCCTGATGAAAGCAGAGTGTCCAGCAGGTCAAGAGAATGATGCATCTAAGATTACAAACCCTGGTTTGAAATTTCTATGATAGATACGAATGATAAGCTTAACAGGATTACCCATTTTCACATCCAAAGTAAACAAGGATTTAAATGACATTGTATCATACCATCTCAAGAAAAAAAGGTCTCATCCTATTTAAACATAGTAAGACCCAAGGAAAATGAGTATTTGATACAGGTACCTATAACTTTTCTTTTGTAAGAGTTAGCAGCTAATTATTACTCTAAGTTGAAGAGCACAGCTGTTGTCCAGCTGTGGCTCCACTGGGTGCACTAACACATAGACTTAAAACTGTGGGTGTCCCCAAACCACCTGCCTGGGGCTATTCCCAAGGAGCTCTCAGCTGCCTCTGAGAAAGAAGCTGGTTTGATCTGGGCGTTGTAATGTACATCAAGAGTTTATCTGGTTTTATTGTTTTGGTGGTTTCTTCTTTTTTTTTCCTAGAACGTTCTCCATACCCATCCTACGCAAATCAGGAACAGGTCTATGTCCTGGATTTCTGACATGTATTTGACTGCCAGTTAAAATAAAGATCTGCAGTCAGTCTTCTTGTTTCAAAACTAGCATATTCTGGAAAGACTTTTAGATGTGATTACTTTTTTATTTTTACATGCTTCTTACATGTGCTTATATGTCTAGAAGTTAAACTTCCCCTTCGTAATTAATTAACTTTCTACCAGTCAGTAATTGAATCAATTGCAAGTTACTACAATGGACATTTTAAGTTGGTTCATTATGGCTTCTCAAGATAAACTGTTTTCCTCCTTCAGCCCTTAGGTCATTCATAATACAATCTGCAAAATGTTAGAATTACTTTGAAAGTGACAGAATTCCAGGAGCAGAAAAACTAAGAAAGCCCAGCCATCCTATCGTTTAGCAATATCTGCCCATTGTTGCCGGTTCCTTGTAGTTAGCATCAATTTTTCCCACGCAAAAGAATGCACCAGTAAAATAAGTCCACCTTCACCATTATACCCTCCATCTCAAATTCTTAAGGGCAATTCAGGGTTTTTCCATTAACTCTGAGGACACAAGTAGTATCATTCCTATTCATCTCGGCACTTGAGATCAGACCGAAGGTTAACAGTTTACTATCTGCTTTACTGTAGCACCTAGTAATTCCCATCAGGGACTCTGTTCTATTGTGTGAAGTGCTATAAAACAGGACAAAGAAGTCATTCATGATGCACAGAATAACTACATTTTAAAGCGATATTTACTTTAACATACCAGGAAAAGTACTATGAATTGAGACTCCCTTTTCTTAGAAAGAAAGGAACTCAACCCTGTTATACATACCCAGGCTTAAGCTCACCTTACTCATTAGTTCAAGACAGTTTAAATGGGTATTGTGCTGTTACCTGACATATTTTACCTCAAGCCTTTTTAGAAGCAACTTATTAGAGAACAAACCATCCTTAAACTAAATGGGAAAATGTGTTGAATAAACTGCCAAGTACCTTATAAGAGGTTTAAAGATATTCCACAGAATTTTTATGAAGTTTGTTGGATGTACAACATAGAGTGCTTTAAGGTTTTTCTTATACCTAGGAAAAGAAAATGAAATTGTTAGAAGACTTTGGAATATCATCACCGGTAGAACTGAATAGCTGCAACTGAATGGGAGGTATTATTACAGGAGCATTATACAGCATTCTTTTCAACTACATTAAAAAGACCTGATTCAGAAGAAAATTAATATAAAATTTTTTAAAAACTACAATTTAAAAAATGGTCCGTTTTAATGATACAATAGTAGACCAAGATAACACTATTACATTCCTAACCAATGTCTGCTGTATCATAAGTTTAGTAACAGAGGGACAGAAGGGAAATCAGACAACTTGGAAAAAAAAATTGAGAAGAGAATGAAGAGTCTATAAAAAACACCTCTGTGATACAAAGAATTAGTTTCCTTCACCTCACTTTACTTTCTGCTTAAAAGAGTTTCAAGTTGGAGAAAATTTCTGAATTTTCAGATGTAAAATTTACACCTAATATTTTATTTTTACCACTACTTTTGTCTTGTTTTGCTAGTAATTACTAAAGGTGAAGCCAGCTGCACATTGTTTTATATCGGATGGTACCCTTTGGATGAAACAAAACCCCTTCTCCATTATCGCACTGCTTGATTCTACCATATCAAATCATCATGCATAAGCAATGTACTCTAGCAGGCTGAAACTGAAATGGAAACCAGGCTGCACAAAACGACTCTGCTCTAATGCAACGTTACTGCAAAATGAAATTGAGAAATGCATGAAGAAATGCACTGCTTTTATATATAAATTGTTGCTTATTACTTAGCCAAGTTTCTCAGTAGGCAGTACCCCCCAAATGTTCACCGTTCATCATTAGAAGAAAGAATGAACATGATAAAAAATGATCATGAACTCCTAAGACAGACCTTCTTATAACAGGTTATGGTAAGAGGGGGAAAAGAGACCAACTCAGCAATTACAGCAATTTTTCCTTTTGGGTTTTAATTGGGCCCATAGAACTTTGAGTGAAAAAGGCATGGTTTTCCCAAAGCCACTATCATATACAAGCAAACATCTATCCCAGCATGATTGGCACCACTGTGGGTAGGAACCCAAAATCAACAATAAAAACTAACAAGCAAAACACCTATGTTGCTTTACTGAAGTTTCCATTTTAAGTTTGTTTCGTACCGTGAAGCAATGGATATAAGCCATTCATTCTGTGAAAGTTTACATACTTCATATTTTGCTGAATTACAATTAAATACCCACAAGACGTCACTGAGCCTCTGCTGTAAACCTTCAAAGCAAGCTCTATTCTTTTGAAACTAAGCCTGTTGAACATTTGCTCTCATGACACTAGCTAATTACTATCATACCTTGTACTCTCCTTTGTTCTCTTTCCTTTGACCCCCACAACACAGAAGAAGCCTGAAAGGTGCCGTTTCTTTTTTCCTCTGGCTTGTACAGCAGAATATACATGTTGGGCTGTGAATACTGCTTTGAGCTTCTCAATGCCAATATACTAAGAAGGCCCAACTGTGAATAAAATGATGGGCATATGGTTTTGCCCAGCTTCTTGGGCTTCTCTGTTCCTCTCTGGTTCTCCTGCCTTCTGGGTCAGGGTAGGGGAACGGAGAAAACAGATTTCTGGCATGAGTAAGACTGACTTTGTGCACTTTAGATGTACACATGTCAGAAGGCAACAGAGTGGAAGAAGACATTGCCCTCATACCATCTCACCCCATACAGCAACTGTAAATTTGGCTGGGGATTCTCCTAGAAGGAAAACAGTACAGTAGGGCAGGCTTCCAACTGCAGTGCTTTATTTTCAGGAATTGTCAGTGCACAGAAAAAAATAATATTGTAGTCCATATCTCTCACCAAACACAAAACGTAAGAGAACCTTTACCTTTCTTCACCCTTGCCCAATTCCAGAAAAAAGAGATACATTGCACTAACCATATTCATAAACCTTCTAGCAAACCCAATAAGCATTCTCAGTGTGTTGCTGAGTGGAGAGCAGTATCTCATGAAAGCAGCTAGAGGCTTCAGATGACAGCTTTCCATTGCCACTCTGATGGCTGCTATGCACAACCTCATCTTCTTACTTAATGGGTTCTTGAGTTTCTGGAGGTTATTGGGTGAGTCTCAAAAGAGTCTGAGCTCTGGCACTAGGCCACCAAAAGGCGTTGTGCACATCTCAACTTCAAATTTCAAAGCAGGGTGCGCAGTCCTGTGAAACGCCCAGGCATTTTTATCCCAGTCTAGTCTAGAAACACCTAATAATCTTTTTCATGGCATCTTTTATGAGATTCGCCTCTTGTTCCAGCTCTGAAATTGAAAAAAGTCAGATATCTCTCCAAAATGCAGATGCACGTAGACTCTTATCAGGAAAGAGCTATTTGAGCATGTTTTTGCTTTCAGTCATGTTGCCTTCTTGAGGCCAACTTACAAACCAGTAGATGAAGTAACAACTTGCAAATAAGATCAACTGACTTCAATAGGACCCTGCAGCTCCACCTGTAACCATGCATTTTCAGAGAATAAAGATCAGAACTTCAGCTTCCACTATTAAAATGCTATTTATCTAGGAGCTTTGGCATTGGCTACACCCTAACCAACTAAAACACAAAGCCATGAGCTGTCACTATTGTTACGCTAAAGGTGAGACATATATAACCAGTGCAGTCCCTTTAGGGCTTTACATGTAACAACCAATGAATGGCGCAAGGGTTGTGAGATATGGAGTGTTAAAAACGAACCTTTCCTTTTTAGTATACAACCTAGCCTTGGGATAATCAAAGGCTCAAACACAACTGTGAGATAATTGATAATGATGACTAATCGGTGTCAGAGGTGTCTATCTTGCGCACAGAAAAGGCAATGGCTCTTGGTTTAGTTCCCAAAGCTTTTTGTAACTTTGGATAACCACTGCAGCACTCAGGCCACTCCTTAGTACTGCAGAGAAGACCCTTACAAGAGAACCAACAGCACCAATATCATTACAAGAATTTGCAATGGCAAAATGAATTCAGTTAGCTGCAGGAAGATCAGGAAGGACCCGCTTCCTTCATGGAAGTTAGTTACAGACATTACACAACCAAAAGAGTAAACCAAATATTTTTGAGACATACTTCCTGTCAAATTCTTTGTAGGCTGTTTGTAACCATTTCAGAGATGGTTTATTCAGACTCTTCAGGCCGTAGTGAAAGTAGACAACTGTATAATCATTCTCTACATACTGGTCCAGAGTATACTTTAAGTACCTGAGGAAAAGATAACAGTTTAGTTTTAAGACAGTTTACTGGATGAGATTTTTAAAGCAGTAACTGAGAAACAAAATGGGCTACTTTTGCACAGAATGCCAGTGGCAGCAAATTCACATTCGCTTCAATGCATTTATCTAACAAGTTCATCTTGCTCTAACAGCAGTGCTGCCAATAATTCCACATCACTGCAAAGCCTGAAATTTGAAAGAACATATTTACTTACAAAAACTGTGGTGCTCATGAATCACTAAAAGACCAAGACAATATGGGACTGTGTTTTCCAAGAAATTAAAACAAAATGCATTTTTAACTGACGACTAATTTGCTTTCTTCTGTTCTTACCTCCTTTTAGCCAAGCAAACAATGTCATTTTGACTTTTCAAAATAATAAAGACTAAATCTTGGGTTTTCCTCTCAATTTATTTTTTTAAATCCTTGAAAAATCCATTAGCCTCAATTACTGGCAATTACTACTTGCTACTGTAAACCGTTTCCTTGAATATATTTGCCTTTCCCTTGTTTGTATTGTGGGGACTGTGTTCATAGATCATTTCCCTTAAAACTAATTTAAAGAACTACACTACTTATCCCATCTTGAAATAATACTGCATGTTTTATAAGCAGATATCTGTGTTCATTCTTTTGCAGTATAGTTTAAGATGCTTTTCTCTTTCCTTTCTCCTACAATTGAGAACACTGTATGGCCTATTACACAGCTCAATGATTCAAATAAAGCAATGATGGAGGAGTACAATCTGGCCTCATCTCTTGCTGTGTCAGATTACAACTTTCTCATGTCATTCTCAATGCTATCTTATTATATCCTGCAACAGAGCCCCAGCTATTGCTCTTAATTGTATGTAAGTGATTTTCACTCAATAAAATAGATCGTTCCATATGCCATTTATTAGGCTGTAGCTACTTGCAAGTATCAAGGCCACTTTGACTATCCACCTTTGCATGGAAAAGTGCATAACTTCACTGTTACACTGTATGCCCACAGTCTCATTGATCTGCTTATTCCCTCAGCATACTGTAGATCTTAAACTGCAAATAGCCTGGGACAAGGACTGCCACTGCAATAAATATAATGCTGTTTCGATCACTGACTTGTGTATTAATGGTATTTTAGTGCAAGTAGTAGTAACAGTCATTCAAGACTTTTTCTAAAAAAAGGGTCTGAAATTAAAATAGATCTAAGCAGATATTCTTACATACAGAGTGCCTCATGTTTTATTTTACAGCATGTAAATTCTTTGGCACATTACAACCAGAAAGCCTGTACTTCTAAAAATAATTGAGAGTTTCGTGAGCATTAAGTAAACAGTATTTGTGTACAGTCAATTACCCGTTCTCAGGCTGTAACAGAACTGCAGGGACATTACAGAAGCTTTACCAAATCAATTCTTTAAGTGATTTCATCACAAAACACCTACCGATCTGGCCTACTCTGCAGTTTTTCCTCAAAAGTCAACATCTGGGTCTAACTACTCAAAAACAGATGACTTGATAGCTATGTTGCTAGCTTCACATTCAGAAACCTGCCTGCAGTTCTCTCTTAGCACAGACTTTCCAAGTGAATTTAATATGAACTCAAATACAGGAAAACATGTAAGTGTTCAAGTCCAGAAGAGTCCGAGGACTGGAAATCCTAGTGTCATCAAGGTACCTCCTTGCAGAACTGAGGAAAGGTTCTTACGGCTGGTAGCAGCATGGTTTGTCACACTCCTTTGGCATGTCCTATTAATTACTGGAGGTAACTCCTCTAGGTGGGAAGCTGACTCGTGTGGCTCTTCCTCCTAGGTGCTAACTCTTCCTCTACGCTAAACAGGAAGCTTTGGCTTAAGGCTGTGGAAACACTCTAGGTGTGAAGAACATACAAACGAAGCAACATAGTCTGAAACACACCTCTTAAATAACCTGCCTTCTACTCCCTCTCTGTTTCTGAAAAGTTGAGGTAACAGCACTTCAGTCCTTTCCACAGGCAACAGGTAGTGACAGTTGAAAGGTGCTCAAACATTTTGGCAACGTAGGCCGTACAAGAGCTCTAAATAGGTTTAAAATGCTTAAAAAGGACAAGACTTTTATGGCAGAAGAGATCTCTTTATAGTGACAAACTACAAGGCAAAAACACATCCTGGTACCTTGCTGCAGCAACTTTACAAGGAAGAATGTTGTGATTTTACATATTCACAACCTCTTTTAACACAAAAAACCAAACACTACAAAGTGAGATACATATAAAAATGTTAAGGATAATATACTGTAGGTAATACAGATCTTTTATAAAAGAAGACCACCACTAAGATGTAAATAACTAAACAAGGCTCTTGCTGAGTGATTTAGGAGATAAAGTATAGCAAATTAAGGCAAACACTGCTATACACAAGAACATATGTACAGTGCACTAAAATACTACAACTTCTCTTTCATTGGTCATAATAAATTTATTTTTTTAAATACGATCAGAATTCATTAATAAAATCAAGATGACAAGCTAATTTCATACACAGTGAATTGCTTCTTCTAGTCAAGATTCCAGGTGAAGTAACTCTAGTAGTTTAATCCACATCTCATTCACTTAATATTAACACTCGTAGGTGTTGCATCCTTTTTTCATTTTGTTCTTTGCCTCCTGCTTCTGCTCCCGGAAAGCTCATTCATCTGGAAACAAGCTAACAGAAGCTCACATATAAAATGTAAAGTAGTCCATGCAGGCGATTGAGAGAAACTTACTCCAGCAACCTGGTGTGATTCAGCTGATGGGAAGGGGGCATACGGCAGCAACTGAAGGTAATCACCTTCCTTCCAGAATTGTCATCACCTAGTGAACAAAACAGTTAGTAAAGATAATGTTCATTCATTTATGCAATGGGACCTCAGGGATCTGAAGGAATGGCTTGTATCTTCTGGTATGTGGGTCTACTTTTATCCTCCATCATTACACAAAACATACTGTGAAACTTCACTGTCAAATCACACATTGCCTACAGAAAGCAATTTGGCCACGGCTGCAGAGAAATGAAGCAGCTGCTGGGCAAATGAGGAAGTTAAGCTGAGAAAGCCATATTCAAAGGTGGTTGGCGGTGCTCAGCTCCTGACAGAGTACACTTCAGTCCTCCTGTAGAATACAGTATGGAAGAAAACAGGCCTGCTTTCTCTAGTAGTCCTGGAAGTGGTGTGTTTTCAAACTCTTCATGCTTTATTTCTGGAATTTATCAGACCACTACTCTGTCTAGAAGTGCTTTGGCCATCTGCTCTGTTCCACATCTAAGTCAGATTTTTAAAATCAACTTACGCTTTCTTAGATACTCTTTTCCAGATGTACTATATTCAAATCACATTTAAAACACAACAAGCTAGGTATACAAGTATGCTTTGCATAACCTGAAAATCCCTAAACATCCATTCCTTAGTTCCTCTGACAACATACACTGCTGCACTCAAGTTCATTTACTCTTTGACTCATGACAGCTTCACCCACGCTGTCGCATAGACAAGGTTGGTGTTCATGCCATGCCCACCCCACACCCAAGTTCCGCTATCTGGAAAGCCAGGCACAGAGGTTAAGTCATGCTCACACTGAAGATAACTCAGCACTGAAGATTAAGATTTTAACATACATCAATGTGAAAGGTACTATTCCTTTTAAAGCAATACATCGACTTCCCAGAAAATGTTTAGACTGAATTAATATTTCAGACATTCTTGATCTAATTTCAATGTGCAAACTAAATTATATTTAATACTTGTTTCTATTACCACTAAACCATCAGAGTTTGGCTTTGTTATCAGTAGGAGCACAATAAAATTAAGAACTGGGGTTTTTATAGATATTCTTTATAATTCTGTTCTTCCCCTTTCACCTCTAATTAAGAGGCTGTAATTAATAAACAAATAAAAAAGAAGTAAAATGGGGTATGTTAAATCTGTAATGGAGTCACTTAATGAATAAATAAAATCATATGAGCATTTCTATGAAAACTGGGTAGATCAGCTTCAGACCACTTCTTAAGCTGTTCTAATTTCCATTACTTACGTAATTCAAATTACTTGATCTGAAGAAACAGAACACTTCCCAGCTTTGCAAACACACATCTTCCATTAAAACCCACCAGTGATAGCAATATGCTTTCCGTCATTCAACTCAGGAAGAGGTGACTGTCCTCTCCTGATAGATTCCACACGAAGAAAACCAATCCTGTATTTGCTGTGTCCAGTTGTGCTTGACAGAGGTTATGACAGGACAGCATCTATTTAAACCCATTCCATTTTAGGTGCAGAAGGAGAAAAGGGAGGGAAGAGGTGAGATTAATGTTTAATGACTTTTCATGTATAAACATGGCCTGGGAGACATGATCTGCATTATCAGTTCCAAGTCTGTGTAATCACCAGGAACTGCACTACATAATCTTTCCATTGATTTGTTTAGCTCTATATCAAGATCCAGTTAGGTTTTTCTATTTCTTGCTCCTCCTGCTCACTGCTTTGACAACTAGCAACCTGCTTTCTCAATTCTGGTCTCAAACGTGTAGCAAATCTGTATGAATTTATTTGTGTGACAATGACATGCCTCAGCTGAAGCAGCGCTTCTCCTTCAGTACTATTTACCATCCAAAAGGACTCTCTAGACAATAATCACATCCTCTCCCAGCCTGTATTTTACTACTTATAAACAAGTTAGATCTTGTCTCTTCCCCAATCTACCTGTTCTCTACCTTGTTCCAATCTGAATGCATCTTTCCTAAACACAGGTGAAACTGTCTTTTCTGAAAACCAAGATGAAGTATTAGTTTAGTTTGACAGCTATACCTGGATTATTTCTGATGGCCACCCCACTCTTGTTTCACAGATTGCTTCTCTCTTTTTTGTATTTATACAACCAAATAACCTTTTGCTATTTGCTTCAACATCCTTTAAAGATTGTAATTATCACTTTAGTCCTGTGGTTTCGACTTCCAAAACATAGCTTTCTCTGCTGGCTGTTTTTTTCTTCCTGTTCTTTTTCTTTGGTTGACTGCTTCTTTTTATTACCTTTCTCAAAGCGGTTTTTTTCATCCCACAAGGCCTGATGTCCCTTCCCACATTAAAAATAAATTCTGAATCCTTGGTTAAAAAAGGTGCTTCAGCACCACTAAGGAAAGAATATGCACAACAACACAATTGTATGTACTTAGGTATGTCTGCATATTGTTCTTAAACAGACCGTAATTTATTTCCTGAAGTTATTTTAAAGTGTCTTATTTGATATTCTCAGAGTACTTATAAAGGCATTATAATGTGACACGCATTAATATGAACGATGCACTAATATGTAATTAAAACATTAATAAAATATTGTTCTCTAAATCATTACTTGTTTGTGAAAAAAAACAGTGTTACAATGCACTGTAGAATATTTTATTTGTTAGAGACAATCATTTTTATGAGCAAAATAAATCTAGGAAAGGTTTCCAGTTAAATTACTAAATGAGTCACTAATTGTTACTGCTGGGCACATTGGACTGCTTAAACTAAAAGCCAGAAAGAAATAACCATCTTTATAAAAGACTGCAAACAGACACACTTAGAACATAACTAAACATAATTGCCCAGTTTCAGTAACAGGAAAACCGAGGCAGAGAAACTTTCTCAAAATTCCCAGCAGAGCAGAGCATCTCGTTCTCCCACCCTGCAATGCCACACAGGCAACAAGAGCAGACCAGAAAAGGTGACGGAGAACCTCAGCTCAGTTAAAAACCAAATAAAGCAGTGCCAGCTTCCTGTTAGTGATGACAGCTCATGAAAGGAAAGAGGCTGTTCTTTCTCCGTGGGCGTCAATAATGTTTTGAACAACATCAGATTTTAACATGACACATTGAAGTGCTGATCAAAACAGAAGCAGGTTTCCCTTGCCCTCCAGCAGAAGGTCTGGGACTGAGCACCCTGGGAAATTTCCAGTGCATTTGCTAAAGCATTTGCTTCCCAGTCCGACATAGTTTGAACCCCATGACTTTGAGGACGGAATTTTGACCAAACGTGAAAGTGCAGTTTGGGTAAAGTGGGGACTGGCAGTTACCTGCACATTCAAAGGAGAGTTTAAGTGGAAGTATGCTGATTTTAAACCAGCACAGAGTATATTTTTATCCCACAAAAATTGTATTTCCCTACTACTTGGACTTAAACAAATTAGAACTGAAAGATGCCTCATTCTTTACAGGGGACAAAGCAAAAAGAAGTGCAACTTCAGCTTTGTTCCTTGATGCTTTGCTTGCAGGTCAAAAAAGTAGCTTTGTATTTACCTACTTTATTCCACAGTCTATCACCACCAAATGCTTTCAGATAAAAGCTGACAACTTCTTCTACCCTCCCTGGAAAACGGGCTCGGCACTCACACTCCTCTAGCCACCTACCTACACTTTCCTATACGTCCCTGCCTCAGATTCTGCCCTCATGCACAAAAAGGTCCTACAGATTTCTATCTCCTATGGGTAGCAGGCTCCTGCCTTTGGACCAGGCACAGGCAGACACATTCCTGGGCAGCCTTGGGACTATCAGGTGTGTGGGCCACCAAGTCACCCCTGGGAGCACAGCCCGGTGACGCCAGCCTCCTCCTCTGCGCTCAGTGAGTAAAGAGGGGTGTGTGGTGTGCACTGTCCAGAATGAGATTTATGCACATTAAAATACAAGCTATCTGCTGAGGTTTTATTTGTCTGGATTTCACCGAAACAGACATGAATCACACATTGCTTTTGATAGCAAACACTGCAGTAAGGAAAAGTAAGTTACAGTAAGACACAGGGAAGGGCAAGTGGGAAAAGGGACTGTTCTACTTTTTAATTAAGAATTTGGATGGCACAGCACTTACTAAATGCTTCTTGCAAATGAAAATTTTTTTTTCTAATGATACAGCTCATTCCAATTTGCAAATGAGATCTTTTGAATGCTGTAATTTTAGCATGACTTTTACAAAGCCTTTGTTCTGATGATACTAAACATTACTATTTTATAAGTGAAACATAAAACATCATTTTACTTCACTGAAGCTTGTCATTATCATATTAAGGCAAAGCAAGATCCTAAAGTCAATGGAATTTTTGCCACTGGTTTCAATGGGACTAGGAGCAGGGTCAAAATCCAGGGCTTACTACACAGTGGAAACACTTGCTCAAATATTTGTTTATTTAATAGAATTTAAGCTAGAGAAAATGTGCCTAAATGACAATTACACTATGTTAAATGGTGAGACAAACTGTGCTTTCAAGCCTTCTCCTACTTTCTACAACTCAGGGAAATAGAGGGTCATAAACCATTAAGAAACTTCTGTGTTTTGCCTAGGCTGAGTAACGGGCGGTAAATAGATCCACAACTAACCCACTACGGGCTTCTGCCCATTCATAGTGGCAAACGTCTTAGTCAGTTAAGAAATGCACAGCAAGATAACACAGCTGAGTCTCAACATTAGCAGGAGATGTTTATCCTTTCGGACAGAGACCAGATCCACCAAGGAAACAGGGAGAACGACACCAACTCTAACTCCAAGAGTCAACCCCTTTCGATTTCACAAAGTTCCCTTTTTGCATTCATTCCTTTGGATTCTATTTTTGTCCACCTGTTTATTTAGAAACCAGCTTTCTGTGAAAGGACTGCACCTTACTAATTCTGAAAAGTGTTAAAATTGCAATTAAAATCAAGTACATGTTCAGGACTCTTTCTAAATAAGAATGACTATAAGTGAATGTTCAGATTTCCTACATCAGGAACCTTGTTCATTCCCCTCTGAAAGCAAAGATCAAAGATTCCTCCATGGGCAATTTTTCTTTTAATTTTTTTCTAAGAAAAATACTTTGCCATAGCACATTTTCTTCAGACTAGCTGAAAACAAAGGGACAGCTTGCTTTTTGATGTAATCAATTATTTACATTTCATCTGTGTCTCTCTTAAAGTATGTAAAATAATTTGAAATAAGGGTGAGTTAAAGCCATTCCTGAACCTGACCTCTCTAATGACAGTACAGTTCTACCTGGCTGACTCTATGGACTAGACCAGAGCTCTAGTCTTAAAAAAGGGGCACTGAAAATCAAAACTGCTTTCAGTGATGCAAAATTAAGGATTTTGATAATTCACAGAAAGCGTAAAAGAAAACTTAATGAAAGCAAAGAAACAGCAGAACAGTCAAGAAGAAAGGGAATATAATTTACATTTACTTGGTAAAGGGTAAATAGTGTTAGGCTTTTCTTTTTAGTAAGATATATTCGGATTGGGTATTGTCAACATACCCAAACCTAAAATTGAGTTCACAATCCCATTTGATTTGGCACTTTGAGCCATCATTTATTTTAGCAAGCTTGTTGCTCTACTAAATGATGTTTAAAGCACACCAATTATATTTTCTCAGATTCAACAAGAAAGCACATCTATATATTTTGACATAATTGACTCAGTTTTGTCTTTAAAAAAGACACTATTACTTACAATCTGATGTTTGAAGCGAGAAATGCAGTAGATAAGGATTTATTTCCTTTCATATTCTGGGAAGAAAATAGTTGGAGAAAGAAGAAAGAGGCAAACTGGCGCAGAATGTGGCAAATCCATGTTCAATTCCTGTCTAAAGCATTTGAACCCACATTTCTATCACTCAGGTAAGTTCCCTCTTCACTAGAGCAGGGAATACATTTCATGGATATCAACCTTTATTTTGGAGCTCCTCTCATGGCAAATGAGAGAATACTGCCCAAAAACATGCTTTGCAAAGTGCAAACCCCACATTTAAAACCTGCGCTTGTGCTGCAAATAGGTTATGAACCAGAGCCCTCAGCTCCCTTCTTGGAAAGTGTCCAAGTCTTAGGTCTCTCCAGTTGATTTTTTGGGTACTCATAAAATAATGTTAGATACAGTGATTTCACGAATACCATTTAGAAATAAAAAAATAATGAATAAAGGTTTAAGATTAAAAAAACCAAACCTTTAAACCCAATTCTTTCCTGTGGCACTGCAATTTTCAGGCCATAGATCTGCTCCTGGAGGTATTGCAAGAAGTAGCAAAGCTGTCACTGAGATGGACTGAAAATTATTAGGACTTGCTTCTTAGGCTTATTAGGTAATTCACTACACACTTCTCTTGTTACAGAAACTAATCTACAACTTTACCTTTCACAGTCTGATCTATGTAATACTATTCTAATCAGTTTCTAATGCACTGTTTCAAAACCAGAAATGGGCATGAAATCAGTTGGATTTTGAAAAAAAATATGGACAATTTCTACAAAGACCCAGGCTGGATACTTGAAATCTTCAAATATAACTAGAAAAGCAATAAAAGGCTAAGAAGGGAAATAGAGATTTATAACAATGACAGACTTTCATTCAATTCAAAAATGGTGCCTAACACATAAAAGGCAGTCACTGGCAGTTATTGAAAATACAAGCATCAGAGTCCTACTAAATAAGCACATGTTCATTAAAAGGTGCTTCAAAAAGTTGTCAGCAATCATATTATAAAAGCAAACTATAGAAAATAAGGAAGCTTGATGCATCATATATATGCTTATTTGTCCCTTTTTTTCACAAAGAAAAATAATCTTGAGTTTCTTTTTTGGGAACAGACTGAAATTTCTCCTTCAAAACAGAAATAAAAAGAAGCAGTGTTGCAGCACTGTTTCGTTTACATATGCTTAGAGCAGTCAGCTGCACATTAGTATTAGTGACATAAATCGGCCTGAAATTAATAAATAATTATTAAAGCTTACATCTTTTTAAAGTGTCCCCTATTCTTATTTAATCAACTGTATTTTCACACAGTATGAATACAACCCCCCCAAAAAAAAAAATCTCCTTTGCATGTAGTCAAAGCTATTGTCATGGAAAGCAGGTACGAGTCACTTTCATCTGTGAGAAGCAAGAAGGAATTTTAGATTTTTTAAAGATTAACTCTTGGAAACTAGATTACTGTAAGAGATGGATAAATTACTGCAAATATTTTCACTTAAATTCTTTCTTTTTCTTCAATCATTCAAACAATACCTCTTACTGTCTTTCAGTCACAGAATTAAAACTGAATGAACAGCTTTCAGAATTGCTTTAAAACAGCCATTCCAAACACTGAAATTATACTTTTGTCTTATTCAAAGAGATTATTAAAATCATTATAAAACTAGGTACAAATAATTTAAGAACTATTTCTTTCAAAAGGGACTGGCCTTTTCCAAGATAAGAAGGAGATCTGAAGAGCTCATTCTTTCCTCACCAGAATCTAAGTTCAGAAAACATTCAAACTTGACTCCACGGTGGGGATAGGGAATTCTCGTTTTGTGGAGGTGAAGCATGTCTTCAGATCATATTTCACCTTGCCTGTGTTCTGCATTCATATGCACACCTCTGCGGCCTCCCTCTTACATCCCGCCTTTCGAGGATGCAGACTGCTGTCTGAAGCGTGGCTTCTGGCTTGCGCTTCGCATTTAAATTGTCCAGTAGACTTGCAAAACCCCATCATATATTTCTGACTGAAACGGCAGCTAAAGTCACTCCTTTCTGAGCTTAAACGATGGCTAGGGGACTTTAAGAAGAAAGTAAGAAGAAAAGAGTGTGGTAGTAAGGATAAAACCATCAGAGATAATCCAAGATTACAGCCATCTCTTTTAAAGCATTACCCTGTAGCACTGCCTAGTACAGCAGATGGAAGATGTTCTTAGGTGGACAGTTAGAGTGACTCTGGTGTATCCAGTGTGTCTGTTAACACATCTATTTCACACTTTGTCAGTTTGATTTTGATGGTTCCATTAATAACTTTTTTATCTTGGTATTTCCCCATCCCAAAACTGGTGCTTGAGTGAGAAACATCCTAGTGGGTTGCAGGTAGTAGCTTCTGAATCACAAGAATGGGAATCTTTTATTTCCTTGTTTGTGCATTTGAGTCTTATGTTGGGTGGTTAGTTTTGAAGAAAGTAAAAGCAATTATCATCCTGCGCATAACTCACTTCAGGAAGACATGTTACTATGGGTAAAATTCTCTTCCCACTCAAAGTCAGAAGTCAAATTACCATGGATTTCACTGCCCTAATCAATCATCCTTCACTGGAGGACTCTTTTTGCTAAAGTTCATATTCACCTGGATGACATCCTATTTATGGCTCAGATTCAGGGAAGTTCATATGCATAATCCAAGTACATAATTTTCCTGAAAAATCATAATCTAGTCTCACTAAAGTGTGAGGTACAAAAAGTGTGCACAATACAACATAATCTTAGACTTCATTAGGATGAGTAGTGTTAAATACTGCTATTTTTTTCTTACTGTATACATTCCTTTAGCTCAGGATTGTGATTATTAATGCTATTTTAAGAAGCACATTGATGCCAAAAACAAGCCAAAAAGAAAAAATATGCAATGCACACTTTAAAGAGGTGCTTTTGTATCATAAACATGCCTGCATGTCTTATACATTGCCAGAAAGTTTTAAAAATAAATAACTGTAAGCATGAAACGATCCAATATTCAAATATGCTATGTACCCATAGCTTCTCTGTGTGTCACAACAGAAAGTCAGGTGATAAATGCAGTTAACATTTACGTTAACAGTTTCTTTTCTGCCTTTTATTAGCTTTTATACAGTCACCCATATCTCTTCAGTTGCAGACCTTTTCCAGGGCACGCTAGAAATACTATTACGTGCGGCTGCACAACACTTCAGGTTATTCAGAAAACAAACCAGCTTATCACAAATAAAGTGGAGATCTGTTACAGCCACAGTTAAGCCTTAGATTATAATATATTGCTATAGTTGTATTTTAAAGCAAGATTAAGCTCAAATATTTGGCTCATAAGAGTTCACATATTACCATGCAACTGCTTTTCAGGATGAAGGCTGAAAGCATCAACATGATTCCTATGCATCACCTTGAGGAGCACAGTAAGAAAAATGTGGTAAGGGGTCTAGCAAGGCAAAGCCCTAATGTTTTTCCAAACATACCTGCTAACTGGATGATGCCATGTCTCGCAACATCATAGTAAGGGTGATTGATATTTAACTCAGGATCCTTAAGTGGTGGAGATGTAAATGTTTCTTCCTCTTCCGACTGTGTGTCTTCTGCTTCATCTTTCTGCAGTTCTAAAGGAGCAAGCAAGAATGCTTAAGTGCTAATGGACAAAGTTTTGCGTCTAATATATTACTGAAGGGCTGGATTTTAGCTCAGTTTGACAAGGACTTTATCACAATTTTATGCAACTTCAAATCAGCTTCTTGTTCTTTACTCCTTTTCATGTGTGAGAAAAGCAACCTTTCAATACCTCAAAGCTACCTTCATGTCTTCCTTAAGATTAATATCTACTGTGATGCTTACAAAAATCTCAACAATGACTGGACAGCTGGCATGCTGTGACCTTGCTATTCACAACTGCCGGTGTTGTCTCATCACTTCCTACACTCCCACAATCTGCTTGTTATATCCATCTACAGCTTCTTGTCTTTTACTTCAAGATAGTCCAAATGTGGAAGTCAACGTTTCAATATGCTACCATGTGGACTGACAGCTACTCCACATTAACAGCCAGTGTGAACTCACTCCGAGAGCAGACTCAATACTTTGCATAAAGGTAGAAAGGTGCAAACAAACCTCCATCTCACCTCCCTCAAAATCCACTGTTTCCTTGAAATGCTTTAACCTTCTGAAGTTGCAATAGGCAAGGCAGCCAAATGTCCATCCAACATATACTGCAGCTAGAGGCCAAGCAAAGGCGTAAAGGTCTGCTCAAAAGCCCAGTGAAATCAATGAGCACCCTTCCCACAACTTCAATAGATTCTGGACTAGAGCCTTGAGTTAAAAATCTACTCTGTGCTGAAATGAGCAACACAAGGTCAATCGATTTTGTTCCAGAGTTGGTTTTGTTTCGTTTTGGATTTTTTTTTTCCCCAAATTGCTGTAAGGTTCAAAAAGAGCTGATCTCCAAGTACATATCCAAATGAACACAGATTCTGGGATAATTACTGCCACTAGCATTCCTACACTATTCAAATGAGTAGTTTTCTAGAAACTGACTGGAATAATATGATATTGACATATTAACATGCAAGTGTATTGGTGGCTTAAGAGAAGAAAAGGTACACACAAACAGAAAAATTAATGTTTTGATAAGGTGTACTGCTCCCCGTACACCATCCATCTCTTTGATCACGCAAGTTTTAATAAGATAGAATTAACAGTTTATAACATTATTAGTGCCACTTTAAAAAGTACTTCAAGAATATTTTGCCTTCTAATCATCTGCCCTGACCACCATGCAAGGAACACTAGGACAGAGAGAATATATTAAGTATTGATTCCCACCAGATTTATGTGCCAGTAGCTAATAAGTGCTAGAGAAAAACTCTTATTAAATATTCTGGAATGCTTTTGACTCTCAGTTTCCCAGTATCATTCTATCCTATAAACAACCACATGAAAGCTTTATTGTCTCATTTTTATTTTTAACATGATTTGTAACAAAAATGCATTTCACAAGGATGAAAAATGCCACTAGTGGCTCAGCTTCTCAAAGACAAAGCGGAGTCATGAACATATGTACTACTTTTACATTTCTTTACGTCTGAATTCACACTAAAGTCTCCTCAGAAAATAAATGAGTAGTCCTACGGGAAAAGAAAATATATATACTTTTAGAAATCACAGACTGGCTTGTCTTGGAAGTGACCTTAAAGCCCATCTAGTTCCAACCCCCCTGCCATAGGCAGGGAAACCTCCACCAGACCAGGTTGCTCAAAGCCCTGTCCAACCTGGCCTTCAACACTTCCAGGGAGGGGGCATCCACAACTTCCCTGGGCAACCTGTGCCAGTGCCTCACCACCCTCACAGTGAAGAATTTCTTCCTAATATCCAATCTAAACCTACCTTCTTTCACTTTGAAACCAGTACCCCTTGTCCTATCATTACATGACCTTGTAAAAAGTCCCTCCCCAGCTTTCCTGTAGGCCCCCTTCAGGTACTGGCAGGCTGCTGCAAGGTCTCCCCAGAGCCTACTCTTCTCCAGGCTGAACAGCACCAACTCTCTCAGCCTGTGTTCACAGGAGAGGTGCTCCAGCCCTCGGATCATCTTCATGGCTCTCATCTGGAGTCACACAAACAGCTCCATGTCCCTCTTATGCTGGAGGCTCCAAAGCTGGATGCAGTACTCCAGGTGGGGTCTCACAAGAGTGGAATAGAGGGGGAGAATCACCTCCCTCAACCTGTTTGTCACGCCTGTTTTGACACAGGCCAGGATGCGGTTGGCTTTCTGGGCTGCAAGTGCACGTTGCCAGCTCATGTTGAGCTTCTCACCAACCAGCACTCCCAAGTCTTTCTCCTCAAGACTGCTCTCAATCCATTCTCCACCCAGACTGTATGGTGCTTGGGATTGCCCCAACCCATGTGCAGGACCTTGGTCTTGGCCTTGTTGAACTTGATGAGGTTGGCATGGGGCCACCTCTCCGGTCTGTCTAGGTCACTCTGGATGGCAGCCCTTCCCTCCAGCATGTCAACTGCACCACCCAGCTTGGTGTCACCCGCAAACTTGCTGAAGGTGCATTCGATCCCACTGTCAGTGTCACCAACGATGATGTTAAACACTGCTGGTCCCAATACTGATCCCTGAAAAGTGCCACTCCTCACTGGTCTCCACATAGACATTGAGCCATTGACTGCAACTCTTTGACTGTGATCATCCAGCCAATTCCTTATCCACAGAGCAGTCTATCCACCAATTCCATGTCTCTCCAATTTAGAGACAAGGATGTTGTGCAGGACAGCGTGAAATGTTTTGCAATGTTAGCTGCTCTTCCCCTTTTGAAAATGATCATTATGATAACGTCAGTCCCTGCCCTCCCTTTAATCCTGACCCATGAGCTCTTGGTCAGCTCTCATCCATAACCAGGTGAAGCTCCATGCACTTCAGAGGGCGACACTCACTTCTCTTCCTTGCCTGTCCTCCCTAAAGAGTCTGTATCCTTCCATTCCAACACTCCAGTCACAGGAGCCATCCCATCAGTCTCCGTGATGCCAGTAAGATCACAGCCCTGCAGGTGTGTGCACATCTAACTCCTCCTGTTTATTCTCCATGCGTTTGTGTAGAGGCATTTAAATTGGGCCTCCATTACAGTCCTCCTCATACACATACGCAAGTTAAAATTCTTATTCTCATCTCCAAAAATGTGTAGTTTTCTACCCTTTAAAAGTCTAACATACATGAAAAGCAATACTAACCTTAACTGGAAAAGTATTCTTACACTTTAAAGAATGATTTTGTCACAAAAGCCAAGAATAATAACACAAAAATAATGCAGTAAGTAAAACTCACATTTTTTTCCCTTTTTGTATTTTTAAGTCACGATAAAACTCAGAACAAGGAAAACATTATTTTGTTTAGTAGGGTGTTTTTTCATGTCTGAGCACTGTAATCTTAAATTAACAAAAAGTTGCAGAGGGAAGAAAGTAAAAGAAAGAAAATGCTAGTCTGTGGGGATGTGAAGCTGAAGCTATCAACCATTTACCAGAATTCACTGAAACTTAACAGGCTTTATGAAAAGTGAAACGTATATTCAAGTTAAGCGCAACAGAAACAACAAATATGTTAACTACAGCCTTTGGTACAGAGAGGCAGCGGCTAACTTCTGTAAAAAATATTTTGTACTATGCATAAAAAAAGACATTTCTAAAGAACAGGGGTAAGAATTTGTACACAAAGTACAGATATCAAGCTACGTGGCTTTGAGATGTGCCAAAGAACAAGAGAAGCAAAGTAAACATGCATGCCCATTTGTACTGCAGTTATACACAGGGACTAAAGAAGTCCCAGCATCTACTGAAAAGCTAGTTAAACCTCTCCTAGTCAGGCAATTCTTTGTATATAACATATATTATATATATGTTTCATAATAAACATATCTTTTATGTAACATATGTTATATTAAAAATACATATGTTTATATTTTGTATATAACGTATAGATAAATGTTTCACAATAAACACAAATAAAAAATAACATTTATTATAAAATATAAAATAAAAAAGAAGATTCATTATTCCAAACTGACGGAGACCTCAGCTCCATTTTTCTCCTGCAAATGACAGAGGAGTTTATTGCCTTGCTCCATGAGCTATAGCAAAGGATCATCTGTTACTACTCATACTGTTATCACTGTTCAACGCAGGCTGGGAGACAACACGAGGGGCCTGATCCAGAGCTTACCAAGGATGAGGGGAAAATTGCTTTTAGAGGGTTCTGAATCAGACTCTAGTAGTAAAAGGGCCAGCCTGCAGGTGCTGAAAGTCATGACACAGAGAAATTGGAGCTAAGGTGAGGGCCAGGGAAAGGGAGATGGAGGTGGTGGTGGGAAAACAAACGAACAAAACCCCCCCCCCAAAACGTTTAGAAGACTCTTGCTGTGGGGTTCAGCCTGGCATCCTCAAAAACTCAAGGAAAAAATACGTAACGCTGATCTTTCAAAATGATGAGGCCCCTAATGCCACGGTCGTATTGCTCAGCTCGACTAACACCTTTGGAGATAACATGCAATACAGCAATCTCTATGCTCATTCAATATTTGTCTCTTTGGAGTAATGACTCCCATTTGTGCCACAATATGTGATGATGGTGATATTCCAATAGCCTAGAATTGCACTAGGAACATCTACCAATAATTCATAAAAGCTGCATGTATTAAACTAACCTTCAACCCTAATGGCTTTAACAGGGTACATATCAGTACAGTGGCTGTATCTCATACTGGATTGCTCCAAGAAGTATTACAAAATGTTCCTGAAGTCTCTCACTTACTGAAGATGCTCTATTAAATCAGCTGCACCTCTACACAGATGCCAGTTGAAGTATAATACAAAATATTTACCTATTTCAGCTAACTTCTCATAGTCAATCTCAGACATGTTTCCCCCTCTGCAAGTCTATGTAGATCGTGCTAACCGATTGTTGCAGGATGAAATGGTCCTTGGGTCAACCCTACAAAAATAAACAAAAGCAGCTGTCATCGCAAGGTCGCATATTTTACACACTCTACAGATATAAAAAGAAAAAAACAACAAACCACCCCAGAAGTCCTACTGCTGAATTACTGTTGAACCAGCTCATCAGCATTTGGCCACCATTTTCTTACAACACAGAGTATTACAAAAGTATTTTAAAACAGCATCCTCCAAAAACAAAAGCTATGTATAAATAAAAAATATTCAAGAAATTGACTTGTTTTTATTTCAGGAAGGTTGTTCTTCAAAATATTTACATATTATACATTTTTAATGATAAACATCAGAATTGCAGATTAATTAACATCTGGAAACAACTTAAACTGTAATATTTTCTTAATTTTATTTCTCTGATGAAGAAGATATATATACTCCATACCCTCACACCAAAGTCACTTATTCCATAGCAGTTGTAAGTTTTATTACAGGAAACGTTCTATAACTCACGTTTCACATGAAAGAGCTTCATTAAAATTTCAAGTGAGCATTAACATATAAAAAACCTGAAAAAACAGCAGTTCCTGTGCGTAATCACTGCTTTTTGTCAAACGCTTGGCAGAGTGCTTTGTAAACAGAATACTAAGTAACGCACCAAAGTGAGCAGCAGGAGCAAAGAATATGATTTAGAAGATCTCCTTTCCCAAGCAGCTGCTCCAAAAGCCAAAATGAGTACTTCCCTTAAATTGAAAATCCAGACTTGGGTGTGGAGGTGAGAAAGAAATTGAGCTTTTATAATTCTCCTTTTAACTTATCTTCAAACCCCTGTTTCATACAGATATACTATATAAACCCCCATTTATATAGTTTGGTTTCATCTAAATGCAGTAAATAAAAAGAAAACAGGCACGTTCGTGGCTTGGTTGTTGAGAAAAGGCATACACAAACATGTTCTCCTCTGTCAAGAGGCCAGATATTGTATTGCTACTTCAAAGCACTGAAAATAGGAAATTATTTTGGACCAAAAAAAGATCAAACAGCTTGCCTGCTTGCTGCTCCCCACCCTGCACGTCCCACAGCTTCAGTAGGTTTATTCCAGACCCACAAGTCTGAAAGGCAGGTATCATCCTATGGAGAAGGGGCATATAAGCTGGTTTTTTGAAATACAATGCACGTCAACAAAGCAAGTAACCATCTGCTTCATTATGAGGGATTGGTCATTAGAGTGACCACAGTTACAGTGTGTGTGCACTAGGGCTGGGTTCTACTGGCTAAGGCAAACTCTACCCTTTGGTTTCGGTTTATGAAGGGAAAACAAATTTGCAGCCTAGTGTATGACCACAACTCCCATGTACTACAGTAAAACAAGTACCGGATAACATTCATAATATTTAAAAGAGCTTCTGATGACTAATGAAGGTTTTCTATAAATTTTCAAACTGTTCCACAGATCCGACAGCAACACCATAGTTATCATGCTATATTATCACTGGAGGCAACCACGCATTTTCAGAATTTGCTGCACTGCAGATAAAATAGGAAAAGATTCTACCAATTTGAAGATTTTCAAACACTCATCAACTATTTTATAAGAATCTTACTTATTTCTTATTGAAAAGAATTGTCTTTATTTACAGGAAGTTCTCAATGTAAAAGCATGTACACAGGGAAAAGTCCCATTAAGTTCAAAAGAGAAAATGTTGCAATTTGTAACCGGGCAAAATTTTTCTTAAAAATGAAAGCAATTCTGGGCCAGATATATTTCATTTCATGTTAATTTTACCACATGGCATTCAAAATTATAATTCCATTGTTTTTTTTAAAGTTATGATGCAAATAAAATACTTACTGATTGATATTCTAACCAGTAATTAGTTTATTACCATTCTGAGTGGTATTTAGACATTTCTAAAATTAACAGTTAGCAACTAGTGTGATAATTTGTCTTTTATTTAGCAACTAATTTGTGGCATATATTGTATATGATTTAGTAATTGATATAATTTGCTCATAAGTACTTGGTATATTATATGAACACATCTATCTGTGATGGGAGTAAATGGTACAGAAGTATCTACTTCAAATAAACAAAATTTAAAAATGCTTTTGAAGCAAAACATAGTGGCAAAAACAGAAAGCTGACTTTTTCTTACTGAGCATTTGCTCCCAACTTTTTTTCCTAAACAAAATGGTAGCAGGAACATAACGATACTGAGAAGTTTTTAAGGAGCTCCAAATTCAACCTACAGCTCACACTTGTAGTCACCTCTCCCAGCCCTCAACTCCACCGAGTATTTCAGGCAGACCTTTCAGCTCTTTACTGAACCTGGAACTTGACCACAATAAGCATCTTGTGACTTTTTTTCTTACATTTTTCAATTTAGTTTTCACAAACTATTGTTTTGGGTTTGCATGGCAAGGTTTTGGTAGCGGAGGGCTACAAGGGTGGTTTCTGTGAGAAGCTTCTAGAAGCTTCCCCTAGTCCAAGAGACCCCGTGCCAGCCAGACCTGCCACTGGCCAAGGTTGAGTCCATCAGCGATGGTAGTAGCACCTCTGTGATAACATATTTAAGAAGGGGAAAACCCCTCCCTGCAACTTCTGGGGAACAGCAGTGGGATTGAGGACTGACAATATATGAGAGAAACAACTGCGCAGATACCAAGGACAGTGAAGGAGTGAAGGAGACGCTCCAGCTGCCGGAACAGAGATGCCCCTGCAGCCTGTGGTAAAGACCATGGGCTTGTTCCCCTACAGCCTATGGAGGTCCGTGGGAGCAGATATCTACCTGCAATCCATGGAGGACCCCACACTGGAGCAGGTGGATGCACCTGAAGGAGGCTGTGACCTCGTGGGACCCCGCACTGGAGCAGGCTCCTGGCAAGACCAGTGACCCCATGAAGAGAGGCACCCATGCTGGAGCAGGTTTGCTGGCAGCACTTGTGATCCTGTGGGGGAACCCACACGGGAACAGGCTGTTCCTGAAAGACTGCACCCCATGGAAAGGACCCACGCTGGAGCAGTTCATTAAGAACTGCAGCCCATGGGAAGCACTCATATCAGAGAAGTTAACAGAGCACTGTCTCCCATGGGAGGGAATCTCACACTGATGCAGGGGAAGAATGTGAGGAGTCCTCCCTGGCAGATACAACATGCGATGAACTGATCTCAGACCCTATTCCCCATCCCCCTGTGCTGCTCAGGGGAAGAAGGTAGAGAAATCAAGAGTGAAGTGGAGCCTGGGAAGAAGGGAGAGGGGTAGGGGTAGGGTTTTAAGACTTTGTTTTGTTTCTCATTGTTCTACTTTGATTTGATGGTTAATAAATCAAATTAATTTCCCTGAGCTGAGTCCGTCTTCCCTGTGATGGTAATTGGCAAATGATCTCTCTCTGTCCTTATCTTGATCCACAAGCCTTCTGTTATATTTGCTCTCCCCTTTCCACTAGAGGAGGGGTGTGATAGAGAGGCTTGGTGGGCACCTGACCTTCAGCCAAGGTCAATCCACCACAACTACCACCTTCATTCAGTCAAACTTTCAGAACAGAGAAAGCTAATACTCAATACAGAATCATAAATTCATAGAAAGGTTTGGGTTGGAAGGGACCTTAAAGCTCTTCCAGTCCAACCCCTCTGCCATGGTCAGGGACAGCTCCCCCCACCCCAGGTTGCTCAAAGCCCCATCCAACCTGGCCTTGAACATTTCCAGGGAGGGGGCATCCACAGCTTCTCTGGGCAACCTGTGCCAGCGTCTCACCACACTCACAGTGAAGAATTTCTTCCCAATAGCTAGTCTAAATTTGCCCCCTTCTGGTTTAAAACCATTCCCCCTCATTCTATTGCAACCTGCCCTTGTAAAAAGTCCTTCCCCAGCTTTCCTGTAGGCCCCCTGCAGGAGCTGGAAGGCTGTAACAAGGTCCCCCTGGAGCCTTCTCTCCTCCAGGCTGAACAGTCCCAACTCTCTCAGTCGGTCCTCATAGGGAAGGTGCTCCAGGCCTCTGATCAGCTTTGTGGCCCTCCTCTGCACCTGCTCCAACAGCTCCATGTCCTTTTTGTGTTGTGTCCCAGAACTGGATACACCTCATATATCTGATCTTCACAAACTTAATTTCACTCAAATATTTCTCTAAGCTCCTCTAAGGAAATGAGGCACTACCTTCCTTCTAAAGTACCTACTTTCAGCAGGTCCTTCCATCCTATTGATCTTTAACTGAAAACCATAAATAAAATCAAAAGTCATTAAAACTGGGCTATATCTTTGACACTAGAATGCTTTTCAGATAATGGGAGTAACTAAAGACTCAATGAAGTAATGGAACAGGGAAAAAAAGACATCTCCTTGAGCCCTCACTTAAAGAAAAGAATTATATATACAATCCTTCTGCATGGAATAAAAACCAATTTCTCCCTCATACTAATTGCTAACATTATAGTTAGAAGCAGTGGCTCAATCTAAAGAGAGCAGATTTAAATCGCTCCCAAAACCTGCTGAAAAACATCTGGCTTTTGAACAGCAAAGTTACTGTACAAGTGAGAGCAACTATGACAGCGTTAAAACATTTGCAAATGTTTAACGCACGAAGTTACTAGGAAGCTAGAAATAATTTAGACAGAATCAAAGAAGAAGGGAAATGGGTAAGAAACCATCTGCCTGGTTTTCAGCTTACTGTTCCCTTGGGGCGGCAATTAGAAAGTTTCCAGTTACAAGACAAATTTACTGCAGCACCCTCGGAAATTGATTTCCCGTTGACCGCAGCATTCTCTGTTCCTAAGAGATAACATAATCTCCTTAATAGCGTTCCATGCCACGTATCACTGTTTCTAGTAAACTGTCAGATTTAGTGCCTTCCCCCACCTCATCTCACCAAAAAGGCAGTAAAAAAAGCCCTGAAAAGAGCCAAACTACAAAGCTTCTATTAATAATAGAAATTTGGAAGTCTTTTGCAAAATACCACATCCTATGCACCTCCACAGGCAAGGTTATTACTTACTGACATCCCTAAAAGAGCATTACTTTTATCGAAAACGAAGGC